GTTTTCCAGGATATGCCATTATTGGCTTGTAGAACAGTCCTGTAAAAGAGAAAGAATTGCATTTGGCCCCTTCTAGAGGTTTCATGAACTAAACTCCTATTTCAGATATGAAGATTGAGGAACGTCAGCACACCTGGAGAGATTTTGCCACGAGCTATTGTGCGGCTCCCACCCATTCAGCTCTCAAGGATCGTTCACTCACCGTTGTCAGAGCATTGAACCCATTCTTCCCTCCCTAGGAACAGTTTACTCTAAAATTGCCTGTACTCCCATATTTCCTTTCGCCTATTGAAAAGTACAGCCACAACCACCTGGCCCCACTTTCAGTTCATCTGTCCTATGGCTCTGGGATACACAAGTCCACATTAAAATAAGTCTGTATGTCTTTTTTCTTATTAATCTGACTTTTTATCAGTGATTTTCAGTAACCCTCAGAGCAGAAGGGAATTCCTTTTCCTCTATAACACCCAAGGTCACCTTCTTAAGTTAATATCATTACAATAACCATTTATTTCCACTTTTCTAGCTCTGAAATATTTTTTTTTCTTTTCTTTTTTTCTTTTGGAGAGGCTTTCGCTATAGGGCACGTGCGCTCACTAGAAAGACAGAGACAGAGAGACAGAAAGCAAGAAATCACCCCCGAGGGGGGATGGCCACGCTGCAATCCCTTCTCCTCCATTCTCCTCTCAGGATCTTGGGCACACGCGCACATGTGCCTGGAGTGAGTTTAAGCCGCTGGGTCCAGAACTTGAACTGTGGTCGACTACGTGGGAGTTCAGCGACATAGCCATTACGCTAACTGCTGGTCCCTTTTTATTTTTCATAGTAAATAAAAAGCTTTATCTTTTATTATTATTCAGTTAATATGTGTATGTAATAGTTATCATTACTAGGCGCTGTTATAGGCTCTAATAGCCTATAACATGAAAGCTAAAACATGTAAGAAATTGTCTATTACTTGTTTCAACCACTAAAGACACTTTTTATTTTAAAAATTTTAAAAGAATTATTTAATTTAATTGTATTTATTTATTAATTATTATTACTGTTCAATTTGACCAGAGAAACAAAGAGAGAAAGAGGGAGAGAAGGCAAGCTGCCAGGTCCAGAACTTGAACCATGGTCGACCATGTAGGAGTCCAGCACCTCAACCACCATGCTACCTGCCAGCCCCTTAGATTTTTTTTTTTTGAGAGAGAGGTTCTTTGTTATAGAGCACATGTGTTGCTGGAGAGTCAGAGAGAGAGAGAGAGAGAGATAGAAAACAATAAATTACCCCCAGGAAGGATAGCAACATCACAATTCCTTCTCTTCCATTCTCCTCTTGGGATTTTGAGCATGCATGAACACATGCCTGGCATGAATTTTTTTTTTTTTTGAGGTTTTTCACTAGAGGGTGTGTGCATTCACCAGAAAGACTGAGAGTGACAGATAGAAAGTGAGAAATCAGCTGCCAGGGGGGATAGCCATGCCACAATCCCTTCTCCTCCATTCTCCTCTCGGGATCTTAGGCACGCACAAACACGCGCCCGACATGAATTTAAGCCACTGGTTCTGGGACTTGAACCATGGTCAACTACATGGGAGTCCAGCAATATAGCCATTACACCGACTTCTGGTCCCTGGCATGAATTTTAAGATGCCAGGTCTGAGACTTGAACCACAGTTGACTATGTGGTAGTTCAGTGATGTCCTATTATGCTATCTGCTGGTCCAAAGACACTCTTTTTTTCTTTTTTTTAAAAGGAGACATTTCTTACAACTTTTTGGTATCATTTCATTAACATATACTCTATTACTTTATAATTTATTTATTTATTTTTAATTAATTGATTTATATTCATTCACTGAGCAATATCACAACATACAAAATGTGATTTCCCATCCAGAATATACTGCATAGTGGCTTAATCATACATGTTATCATCAATAATTTTTCATTTCTAGTTTCATATATGTATATGTATATATATATATATGTATATATATATATTCCCCCTATTTCTCACCTTATGCCATTTCCCACCCTTCTCTCACACTATCTCAGATGTCTACAGTTGTTTTCCATTTCTCCCCCCCCTACATTTTATTGATTCACAAAATTTCTTAAATAATCTAACTACTTTCAATAGCAAATTCAGCTGGTATATACATATCTGTGAATACATGTCTGACTTTAGGCGTGAAAGTCTGAGTAGAATGAATATACTATAAGGTAGCACCTAGCTGATGCTATATAGCTTACTACTGTCATTAATTAGATATTTTTTACTATATTTTTTAATTTTAAGAAAAGCTATTCTAGCTTTAATAAATCAAAGAGATACTAAGAAACTATGCTTAAAACTTAAAGCCAGGAAACAAGTTGGGATTCTGTTCAAATAGTAGGTACATGAACCTATCAGCAACTCAAGATATGTCAAAAATCCTTAAAACCAGAACAGAGCTTAGAAGAAAATCAGCAATATTTTAGTCAAAAGTTATAAAATTCTATTTCGTCAGGTCAGTCTCATGTACTTTATCTTCTGTTGCGATTCGATCTTCCTGATTAAATTCTTGGGTATAATATTCAACTCTAGACTTGTCCCTACGATTAAATTGGCCATTTTCTTAGTTTTTGAACTCTAATTTAAGAGTGACTGTATTTAATTTTCCTGGTATAGCACTTCCTGTAGAACTTCTTAGAGATTTGGTCTGGTGATGGTAAATTCTTTCAGGTTTTGTTTACCCGAGAATGTTCTTGTCTTCTCTTATCATATGAAGGATAATCTTGCCAGATTTAGTATTCTTGGTTAAAATTGTTTTTCACTCAACACTTTGAATATATGTTCCCATTCTTTTCTCACACACATTATTTCGGATGAGAAGTCCACTGTCAGTCTGACGGGATATCCTTTGTAGATAACTTGATGTTTCTCTCTCGCCAATCTTACTATCTTGTCTTTGTGGTTTGGGTCAATCTTGCTATAATGTGTCTTGGAGAAAATCTTCTTGGATTGATTCTATTTGGGGTTCTTTGTATTTCTTGGGGCTGGACCTTTGAATGCCTCTCTAGGTCTGGAAAGTTCTCTTTCAGGATTTCATGGAATAGATTGTCAATGCCTTTTTGAGTCTCTTCTCCTTCTGGGATACCAATTATCTGCATGCTTGGACATTTGATGGTATCTAGTATTTCTTGTATATTATTCTTTTTTTTTTTTTTCTTTTGGCAACCTTTTCAGTCTTCATGGTGGGCTTTTCTAGGCCAGTGATTCTATCTTCTACATCTGAGTTTCGATTTTCTGTATGATTTAGTCTGCTTTGAATACTTTCAAGGGAGGTTTTTGACTTCCTGGATTATAATCTTCATCTCTAACAGGTCCATTTGATTCTTTTTTATAGTGTGAATTTCCTCTTTAAGATCTTGCAAGAATTTCCTCACTTTCTGGAACTCATCAGTTCCTTTCTCCTACCTCTCTGGCAGTTCATTATCTCTCTTCTCTTCGATCTCTGTGAGCTTTGTCACTATGAAAATTCTAAATTATTTGTCTGACATTTCCATGAGTTTCATCATACTGTCTGAGGATGAAGAGGAGTTATTATTTTCCCTTGGAGGAGAGGTATTTTCTTGTTTTCTCATATATCTTGTGACTCTGTGGTGATTTCTAGTTCATCTGATGGATGGTACATTTCTTCCTAATTCTTTTTTTTAAAATGTGTATATTTTTTATTATTCATACATTAAATTACTATACACTATTTAGATTGTGAAGAGACTTTGCCCAGCATGATATACACCTCAGTCCAGCCCAGTTGAGACCACCATACTCATCTGAGCATTCAAAGGCATGCAGGAAGAGGTGATCTGCAATCTCTCTTTCGTTCCATTTTTACTCTTTGAGCAACAGAGTCAGTGGGAATAGAGGAATATACTGACCCTAATTGTATTCAGATGTTTAGATCCTGTTCACTTGAACCTGTCTAGACACTTAGTGCATAGGGGGTGAGCAGGTAATGAGTAAAGATGAAGGAAAAGATTTAGAGAAGAGGAAAGAAGAGGAAAACATAAAATAAAAAGAAGTAAGAAAAAAAAATAATTTAAAAACTTTAGATTTTAATTTTAAACAGTAAAAACTGAAAACTGTGTGACATGCAAGCGTGCTGTGCAAAAGCAGTATCTCACAGCTGAAGTTCAGGACCCATGTGAGGATGGGCCTGGATTTGTGCCTTTCCTAAACACAATTGGGAGAGGCGCAATTAGCACAATAAAGAAGGGGCTTGAGGGCCCAGAGAATATTTTACCTTAAAAATTTTTTTAAAAAATTAAAAGACACAGTGAGATAGAGAGAGACAGAGAGAGACAGAGAGAAATGGAGAAAAGGAGACAAGAAGCATTACCCACTAGAAATGAGTGTGGAGGGGGAAGTCTCAGCAGAAAATCTTCATCTTAAGTCCCTCACTCTATTCACTTTAAACATTACCTTTTTGTTTTATTTTAATAAAAATAAGCAGTAATATGTGATATTCAAGTATTAGTCATTATTATTATCTTAAAAATGCACTTGTACTTATTAATATATAGAATGATGCTTCTCATTCAAAACCAGTGTTTCTGTGAGCAACATCTATAAGTCAATAAACAAACTGAGTATTTTCTCGGTGGTTAATGTGATGTCATGTTAACGCCCATTAATACTGGCTGGACAGTGTTCATTTCTGTTTCCTTCTCTGACTTTCCAGTCTTTTCTCCTTATCACTAAATCCTGTTTCACAATATTGGAATCAACATTATTTCAAGTTGATTGAATTTCACTCACTGTTCGGCCAGGAATTCCTAACCCTGGTGGGCCTATGTCACCTGGGGAACCGTGGACACCTGGCAGTCCTCTCTCACCCTGTGAAATGAGATGCTTCTGTTAGTGCAAGGTTCAAGTGATGTAAGCTTATCTGATATACTTTGTTAATGATTAATTCTTAATATTCTCATACCTTTGGCCCACGTGGACCAGGTGATCCAGGACTTCCATCTAGTCCCTAGGAGAAAAAAAAGGAGGGGGGCAGGGGATGAATACATGTCTTTTTCAAGTTTTGTCTTGTATTTGTTTTATCTTCTAAGATGAAAACCATCTTAGAAATCATAAGTCAAAAGTATGTTTCATTGCTCATCTTACTTGAACAAACCATTCTGTTAAAAGGATAGAAAAGAGGGAACACAATTTTTAATATGTTATTGAGTTTGTAGAATTACTATAAAGCATAAGAGGTTTTAAATCTAAAAAATGAGACATCTGATGTTGAGAATATTATTAATAATGAATGTAAAAAGTTCAAAAGAGATGCAAACAAAGGCATGTGAAATGGACACATTGGTTATTTATATTTTTTCAGTGATTCTGTTTTCTAAGACCTGAGCTAGTCTGGGTCATGAGGATATTTTTTGCAAATGACAACCTATGGTCATATCTGCAAAGACTCTGGAAGGAAAATTTCAGGCAATTTTTTTTATATATATAGCCATAAGTTGCTTAAATTCTTAAGTGTGCACTCTGCTGGAGAGAGATACAGAGAGGAAATGAGAAATCACCCCCCCAGTGGGGATAGTCACACTGCAATTTCTTCTCCATTCTCCTCATGGGACTTTGGACATGCATATACATATGGTGGGTGTGTTTTTCAAGCCGCTGGGTCCAGTACCCGAAATGTGGAGTTGGTCATTTGGGATCCAGTGCCTTAACCACCACATCATTAGCTGGTCCCAGTTCTTCTGTGTTAAGACTGTGTTCTAAGAATGTTTATGGCTTAAAACCTGTGTATTTTACTGGGTTCTCTAAGGTATCCTTGCACAAAATCACAGGGGGCCTCTGAATCTTCCAAAATCATATGTAAAATGTCATGCACACGTGAATTTTCTTCAGAAGAGAGCCCCTCGCTGTGTGAAAGAGGTTTTATCTCTAATACAAAGAATAAGATATTGTGTTTCTTCTTTTTCTCCTTCAACTTATGCTATACTTGTGTTCTAAAACTGAGAGCCCACAAATAGTAGTCAACGAACGTTCAAAGAAAATAATATAGAAGGGCTGATACTTACTGGTTCCCCTGGCAGACTTTTTCCTGGAGGACCAGTCTCACCTTTGGGACCTTGAAGCCCAGGAGGGCCTATTACCCCACCTGGATCTCCCTGAGGAAGACAACAGAAGGTGGGAAATTGCTCAGGTTCTCAATGGCAAATAGGGAGGCAATAGTTTCCTTTGCCAGCCAAATTTCATTCATTCATTCACTTACTCACTCACTCAGTATTTACTCAGTGACTAATTCCTGCTAGGCACTGCTCTAGTTTCTTTTTTTTTTTTGTTAACCCAAGAAAACTTTATTCAGTTCATTAAAAAAAATTGGTAAAATATATTTTAAAAAGTGATATTTATAACAATAATTTGTAGGTACAAATGAATGATAAGCTACAGTCTTACAGAAGATTATAAACATTTAACACTAGTCAGTCCTTTCTTTTAGGCAAAGTGCTCTTTTGGTGATAGAAAAATTAACAGACACACACTGTAGCGAACTATTTTAGGCAATACAAAAAAAAGGATTTTGATTTGTTTTTCTCTTGAAAACAGAAGTTTACTGTTTATAATCTCTTTTCTTTTTTCACACTCACCATCCATCACCCACTTTCTCCCAACCACTTTCCCCTCTTACTGTCACTACCATCACACCATCCTCTCCATCATCACATCTTCAGATCTCTCAACCTCTGCCATAGGGTGCGGACGCTCAGTACAAATTGTGTGGGGATATACAATGTGTATCTTTTAAAGTCTGGCTCACTTTGCTCAATATTAAGTCTTCTATCTTCATCCATTTTGACTGCTCTAGTTTCTTAAACGCATTTGTATTTTGCAGTGAGTTATATATAATAAGTTTAGCAGAATCATCAAACGTGTTTATGTAAATACATGCACAAAAGGGTATATCTTTTCAGAAAGTTCTTAAGTTAGTCCCCAACAATGATTCAATATTAATAAGTTATCTCCTTGTAGACATCAAAAAACAAGTCCTGAATGAATAAGAGACTCATAAGTCTGTATCAGAGTTGGTAGCTGAGCCTAAAACATGCCCTGATATCTTCGTCTCTTAGTTCATTTTGTCATACGGCATGTCTATGCCAGAACCAGGGCTGTTGCAATGTACAACTCCAGGGGGCACTGTTCACAAGATAATTTATGTGAACGTCTGTATCCTGCACAATCCCAGAAGCCTCATGCTGTCCTTTTGCTTCCCCAATGCCCTTGGATGCTCTGTTTCTTTCTCCTACCTAATTATGGACATGTGTTGCATAATGACATTTCAGTCAATGGCAGTCTGCATGTACGATAGGGCAACAGGCTCTGCAATGCAGCCTAAGTGTATGGTAGGCTATACCATCTAGGTTTGCATAAGCATACTCTATGATGTTTGCATGATAATGAAACTGCCTATCGATGCATTTCTCAGGACACTTCCCCGTCATTAAGCGATTTGTGACTGTATTCAATATACATCAGGAAAATGTGAACTATACCTTTTCTCCTTTAATGCCTTGTTTTCCTGGGATGCCATGTTCTCCTGGCAATCCCTAGAAAATTCAGAAATAAAGAGAAAGAGCAATTAGACCATCTCTTATTATAATGACATTTCTATCTGTGAATTTTTGTCAAGAGAACAGAATTTTGAAATATATAATCTATAACGGAATTTTGGCCAGTTAGGGAAAAACATTAGTGAAGACATGTGGCTTATTAATTCCAGTAAAGTCACCTAGATGTAATGGGGAAGAAACTTAATAAGAGAACTGAACCAAATGTCTCTCTCATATGATTGCCAAGAAGGGGCAGAAAAATAGTGATTTCGGAGCATTACATTAGGATTCAGAAGATAATTAGGAATATTTGTTTTTATTATATTTGGGCAACAGAGG